AACATGATACTAATAATAAAAATAATACTAACGATAATAATAATAATAATAAGAATAATAATATTAATAATAATAATTTTAATGAGACCTTGAATTCAGGTAATTAAAGAGTGTTGATTATGTGCTTTCAAGTTGATGTTGTTTCAAAATCGACAAAAATGTGGGCTACGTTTTTTTGCCACGTTTTATAAAAACGTTTATGTCGAACACTTTCTTCTGGAGAAACGTTTCAAAATGATGATGATAATAATAATAATAATAATAATAATAATAATAATAATAATAATTGTGATGTTAATGCAACAATAGGTATAGTAAAATACTTATATTATTTTCATGCTAAGGTTGTCAGTAATTTTAAGTAGCACCTTACAGAATCTAGCTAAAACAGTAAAAATAAGAACGTAAGTAGTGTACAGATTACCGGTACTGTTTTAGTTTAAGTACCATAGTTTAAGTCAGAATTATTTACTGCGTTTTATCTTTTCTTTTTGTAAAGCGCATTGAGGCTTTTTTTGCAGAATGCGCTATAGAAGTATGGAATTATTATTATACAATTATAATGGGGGGCAGGGATCATGGGGGTGCTGGGGAACATTTTGGATCCCTCACTTTTCGGGGGCATTGTGGTTTAAAATACTATAGACAATTAAATTAATTAGTTTATTTTCTGTGGTACATCACAGAGGTTAATTAGACCTCTATGAATAAAAGATAATGAAAAATATGTTGGAACTTTATTTTGACAAATGGTCACCGGTGTATATGATGATAATGATGGATTTTCGGCGATCTAGACCCAAATTTTCGCGTCTCAGCACCAACCATGGCGCTTCATTTTGACTATGTAAAATGGTGATGTGTTGATACTATTTGAATAAGAGTGTCATTTCCGGCCATTTATAGGTGTATGATTTTCTCGAATTTTTGCACCTCAGCCCTAGTGGGGCTGTGATAGGACTGCCGGTTTGAAGTAGGTAAAACGTAAAGTGAATGTATCAAACGCAATTTGTTTTATCTTTTATTTTTTTATCTTTTATGGTATATATCACACTTATTAATTAGATCTCTATGATTGCCGAAAATCGCTGATAACAATATAAGAAATTTAATTTTTGGCACTATATTTTGACTATCATGGTGATGTCATGATTATGATTGTTACTATATTATAACAGTGTCATTTTCGGTGATCTATAGAGAGTATAATAATTTCCTCAAATGTTTACACCTCAGCCCCAACCATGGATGGGACTAAAATGGGTGTGTTCTCATAATCCCCCATCCCCACCTCCATCTTTCAAAACAGATCTGCACTCTTGAAAATTATAATTACAAATGCAAAGAACATTCCTTCTTGTTAAAGATATACCATCAGTCAAAAATACAGGATAAAAACTCTAAAAAAAAATTATATAAAATTTTGAATAGCTCGATTTAAAAGGAACAAAAATGATCATCTTTCAACTAGAAACAGATCGAATAAAGTAGTTTTATCGACTAAATTAGTAATAGGCATTTTATTAAAAAATCCTTTGAAGTTACTAACTTACCTGCAAATTAATAGGCCTATACAAATTAGGCTAAACAAATGTCAGATTAAAAATTTATATTGTTTTATTACTGGCAGTACATACTTTTTTTTAACAAATCATCTTCTTTCAAATTACATCAAATAATTTCTCCTATTAAAATATTAAACAACTATTTCACAACATATATAATTTCATCCCACCCTTCTATCATGCTTCTGCTTACACAAAAAATATTTTTAAACAAGCCATGCCTGCCAACATATTTGTGAAGTAGAATTTGTACCCCAGGCCTAATCTCAAAAGCAGCCAACCGGAACGAAGGTCTAATCAAGCATTGTTTGTGATTGGTATTCATTAGAGGCCTATCACGTGACAACATACAATCAAGGCCGGGCGTTGATCCCTTATATTAGACCTCACACGTGAAACATTACGATGAGCCTAGTAATTGTTTTTTGTAGCAGCGCACAGCAATGGTAAAAGTTATATGTCGACTATTTTTAGCACGGGTTTAGGCCTAGAACAATCAAAAACATGCCACCGATCAGATCCTATTTATGGAGAAAGTTGAGAAGTAATTGCGCTTCTACTGAGTCAGCACGAAGAAAAGAGCCATTGGAACTGCCAGATTTAGAAAACCAACCAATTTCGCCGACGTCGCCAATTGCGCAAGAGGAAGATTATGAGATACCACACTCAGAAGCTTCTAATTCGTCTTGCAGCGCGATAAGTACATGGCGACTAAGCAATCATTCTTCTTTAATCTCACCATCATCAGTAAGCGTGAACACTGAATTATCAGACTATTCCGTAGACGGGAACGATTCATGTGAAATGATGGTGGAAAGTTCTGAGACCGAGGTAGAATCAACTCTATCCCCAATTGCAACAAGCAGCGAATTTTCATTCGAGGTAAGATATTGCATGGGATTTTGTAGTCATTTTCTTTATATTTGTTTTTTTATAGGTCTTATAGGTTTTATATGACCGTGGGTACATTTTCAGAATATTCAGTGTGGCGATGGAACATGTATTCATTTTTGAATACTGTAGTTGATTTAGTCTAAGTCTATGCGTGTGAGGTGTGCACACTAGTCACCCATTTCTAATATTCGTCTACTGGATATTGTGTATACCAAAGATAAGCATATTATACCCCATTCAGACTAGCATCGCATTGCGATCGGCTGTAGCAATTGCGGCACCCAATCACAAAGTAAAATCGTGTGTGAAAGCTCACCAATAGATAGTAGTCGATATGTAATCGATATCGCAATTGTTACCCGTTGCGATCGGGTGCTACAATCTTTATTACTCCCGATTACCACGGAATCCGATCACAACGAATTCCACAGGCACTCTTTGGCTGAGGTCAGTCAACATAGGCCTAGCCACCGGAGGCAGGCCCTAGAATGTAAAGTTCGTTTGTGTTAGTCTGAATGTGTTCGTTGATTGCGATCGGGAGTAATCAGTTTTGGATTACCACCGATTACATCGCAACAGAGTGTAGTCTGAAATAGATAATCCGTTAATCGTGTTTCGGCCGCAAACAAGTTCGGCCTTGATGTTCTTGTGTGTTCAGTCATTTTTATTACTTTAACTAATAGTAAGAATCTTAAAATTAAAATTACTAAATTATTATAGCTTACTAGCAAGTAAGGAAAGGGCGAGGTTGAGTATCAGATTTAAACATTAAATTGTACTAATAAATTTAAAATAGAAATTGTTATTGTGTTTGCTACACTACAGCACTGTAACGTTCGAGTTTTAAAGATGGTAACTAGCTGCAATCGTACTTTTATTTTGAATTGCTTAGGCGTCTTTGATTGGCTGGATTTACGGCAGCTACCTTGTTTTTGAGTACACAAAACTCTGAGTTTTTATAGCAGGTAATGCGTTAGAGTTTGTGCTAGTATTCTTATTGTAACTTTGTATTTGATACAGAATTTGCACGCAAAAACTTTGAGATGCGCTATCTTTAGTTTATACAGTAAGATTGGTGCCAAAAGTTAAGAATATTGTTTTTGAAAGAGGGCGCCCTACAATTTCGATTTTCATTTTTTGTACACTTGGAGTTACAGTATGTTGGGTGCAAAATTTTAGAGGGCGGTGTTTCAAATTATGTTACAGGAAAGGATTAGTTTACTCATAAGATCTGTGGTTTACAGCACTTGCCTAAGCTATTTTCATTTTAGTAAATAGGATAATGGTAGTAACTTCATGGATCATATTTGATATAAAGCTACCACAATTTTATTTCACAGGTAGTCAGTGATCATTATGATGTACATTTTGTAGGCAGACATATTGGAAATGCTGATAACGATGATTGCGATAATAATGTAAGTAAATACCAGTTGTGCATTATTTCTAAAAATTATATAGTAAAATATACTTTATATTATATTATAATTATATAATTTTATATTATTATTTTTTATATTATAAAATTATATAGATAATATAGTGGACATTATTTCTGCATTATTTCTAAAAATTATATAGTAAAATATACTTTATATTATATTATAATTATATAATTTTATATTATTATTTTTTATATTATAAAATTATATAGATAATATAGTGGACATTATTTCTAAACCTCTTGATTCGATCAACAAAGGCTTTTAAAATGTTATGTTCCCCAGATTTTGACATTTAAAAATCCACATACCGTTTTGCAAAAATACTATCATTGTTTGTAAACATATCTTCATATTTAATATTTTAAGGTTGACATTAAAGAATGTGCTGATAGTAGGCCTAATGATGAAAGTTCTACACTAAGTAGCAATGTGGAAGCTGCTTGTAACCTAGACGACACTCCAAGTGAAAACGTATACGAGGTAAGCATTGTTGTTTACAAGTGGATTCATATTCGTGTACTGAATAAACTAATTTTGGCAACACTACTACCAGCAGAAATATATTTCAGCACAAAACATCAGACATTTAAAAGACATTTCCATGTCATGCAAAAAAAGGCAACATCAATATGAATGACAAGACAATCACAAAAAAAAAGCATTAGTGCTCTCACTTTACTGACACCAAAATTAATTCCAAAGCTCAAAGATGAACTCCACTGCTACATCACACTTAAATTCTGATTATAATGTACTGTTCTGATTTTATTTTACACAACACACTATTTATTTTCCTTAGATTTCCTGTAAAGATGATGCCAGCAAGTGTAGTAGGCCTAATATGAGTTCTGCAGTAAACAGCAGTGTGAAAAATGCTGCAAATTTTGATGATATAAGTGAAGGCTTTAATGAGGTAAGAAATCTTGATATTGAAAGCACCTCCAAAAAATATTTGCTCGCTCCCTCACCCCACCCCAGTCAGCCTCCTCGCCAGTGGCGGCGCTAGTGGGCCAGTGGCCACAGCCCGTCGAGGAGAAAACCACAATTCGTCTTGGAGAAAACGAAATTATATGTATTTTTTTTACATATTAATAGACTCTAAAATCGATTAAGTGAGCCTTTGAAAGCTCCTAAAATTGTCGTATTGTTTTTTTCGTCGGGGATATCAGCCACCTCGTCGGGTACCTTAAACCCCCCATCAGGGTAATCCTGGTGCCGCCACTACTCCTTAACCCCAGTAGTTTAATTTCAGCTAAATTACCTTATCTTGCGATTTAGATCCCTAACCTAATCACCTATCCCACCCCCACCCCACAACATCAGCCCCTTTGTTCAAGACTCCTAGATACAAAGTTTGAATATACAGTAGTGTGTAGAGTACGGGCATTAATGTAAATTATATTTATGTGACAATGTTTACACTACATGGACTATATTCTTTGCTTCTTATTTTTTTGAAAAGGTTACAGACTATCGTGCAAGTTCAACAGATACTTCATCATGTGACAACTTTCAAAGAAATAGCGATAATGAAAGTGATGACGTGCCTGAAACTACTGAACAAACTGTTTCAAATTTGGTAAGGATTTTTTTTATCAAGCATAATACAAAATATTGGGGGACATTGAAAATTAAATCTCACCTGAAGAAGATATTAAAACAAAACTTGTGATAATGAAATCTCAACTAGCCTCACATTGCAACTTTTTTGCTTTCTTAATGTTCTATGTCCTATATAATAGCATAATACAGTAAAATAATAATAATATTATTTTTAATAATAATAATAATAATAATAATGATATTGATGATAATAATAATAATAATATTAATAAGTTTTTGCTCGATTTCTTTAGAATGGAAAAAGAAAGTATGTTAACTTGTAAATTGTATTCCGTAAATGCTCGAATAAGCGCCGCACCAAACCTGATTTTTCTTTGCAAGCGCCGCTCTCGAATAAGCGCTGCGGTGCTTAATGGAGAGTTATTATTACCCTGTGTGTAAAGAAAGACTTTAAGAAATATGGTTTAAATACATGTATACAGTGTTAAAATGAATAAATAAAGCAATGAAGATACAAGCCTACGATGAGCATATTGAAATACGGGAATACGTAAAATAGGCAACATGGGAACAGGCATGCTTTTATTTTTTTATAAGCGCTGCACTGAAGCCTCCAAAAATGTTATAAACGCCGCGGCACTTATTCAAGCATTTACGGTAAGTCAAATTACAATAAGACCGTAATTTTGTGTAAAGTAAATATTAAAAGAGAATCATGTACACTGTTTAAAAAAAATTAAATCCTGCTGTTGCACACTAATGACTTAACTACTGTTGTACTGTTTTCTTTTAGGATGATCCACTTTATGAAGGTGCCCAGATTTCAAAATCGGAGAGCCTGTTGTTAATTATGGCACATTTTCTTCGGTTTGGGCTGACCCAGGAAGCATTGGGTAGTCTGCTTAAACTTATCAGCTTCCACATGCCAGTAGGAACATCATTTCCAATTTCCAAGTACCTTTTCAACCAACATTTTGAAGGTCTAAGTGCAACTCCAGAATTGCATGCATACTGTAGTGCATGTTCCGGGTACGTTGGTACCAAAACAACTACATGTGTAGAGTGTGGTACACTGATTAATAAGGATGAGAGTATTAGCAAAGGTAATTACTATATTATATTTAGCATAAGTGATCAAATAAAGTGTTTATTAGAAGACTCATCTATTCAATCTAAAATACTTAAAGATAACTCTGAGTTTCGTAAAGGTCAATGTTACAAAGAATTACCAATGTCAGAAGATGATATTAGCTTAACATGGGGTTCTGATGGTGCAGCAATTTTTACATCGTCAGGCTTCTCTATATGGCCAGTTACCCTTATGATTAATGAACTACCATATGCAATAAGGAGAAAACATGTTTTAATGGGGGGCCTGTGGTTTGGAAATGGGAAACCCAACTTTGCAACTTTTTTAAAGCCGTTAGTAAAACAGTTAAATTTACTTTCGTGTGATGGACTTATGTGGACAAATAAAGATAAACATTTGGTAAAATCCAAAATTTTTCCTGGTCCACTTTCTTGCGACAGCATGGCTAGATGCCAGCTGCAAGGACTAGTACAGTTTAATGGCAAGTACGGTTGTGCATGGTGTTTAAATCCTGGTGAACAAGTTCCTAAAGGGGGTGGCCACACAAATGCATATTCTTCAAATCAGCTCCCACTTCCAAAACAGAGGGATAAGTCATCATATATAAAAGATGCAGAACTTGCTGTACAGACTAATTCCACTGTTCATGGTGTTAAAAAGCCATCTATGATACTGCTATTGTTACATTTTAATATAATATCAGGATTTGTGGTTGATTATATGCACTGCGTATGCATTGGGGTTGTAAAGACAATGACATATCTCTGGCTAGAGAATGTCAACGCTCGATATTATATTGGGAACCAATTAACGACACTAAATAACAAGTTGACACAAATACGGCCTCCTTCTGAAGTATCTAGACTTTGTAGGTCTCTGACACAAAGAAAGTTTTGGAAAGCACATGAATGGAGAGCATGGTTGCTTCATTACTCGCCATTGGTTTTAAAACACGTGCTTCCAAGCACACATTACACACATTGGCTGTACCTTGTTTCAGCTATGTATATGTTACTAGATGATGATGTAAGTATTGACATGATTAACAATTCAGAATTGCTTCTAATGAAATTTGTTTTAGATGCTGAGGAAATTTACGGTAAAGAATATATTACATATAATATGCATTTACTCACCCACATGGCAGATTCTGTAAGGAACTGGGGACCACTGTGGTCAATATCATGTTTTGCTTTTGAAAGCATGAACCATAAGTTAGGAAAAATGATTTCAGGCACGCAGCACATAGAAAAACAAATTGCCCACAAGTTCCTCTTATGTAGAACACTGCCACACATTGCAATTAATTCATTTCAAGGTAATTTTTACATTAAAGACTATTTTGTAAAAACGTTAAATCATTTTCCACTGAGCAAGTTTATAGAAAAAGAAGAAAGTGGTGTTTTACTAAGAGGGGCTCCAAAACTTTTTAAGCTAACAGACAATGAGATGTACTTACTACATGACATGGGGTATACTAACAATATTGCACTGGGATATGATAAGGTTTCTTTTGCTGGTATAAAAATAACAACAGATAAGCATGTACATAAATTAAGAAAACGTAATGACTGTTATGTTTTTCTGAAAGATAAGACAGTAGCAATTGTAAAGAAATGCTTTTTGGTATGTGTATCATGTAACCAAATTAAATTATGTGGATGTGATAAGAAATGCTTGTTATATTTATCAATTTTGAAAACAAAGAGGACAGATATCTCCCTAGAAGTATTAGGAAAAAAGATATACCATGAAGGAATTGTAAAAACTAATGGACACAAAGAATATAGACTATGTTCAATAAATGAATTTGATCATAAATGTCTTGTGTTATCGGATAAGTTAGTATCAATTCTTCCAAATAACGTTGAGTTTGATTAAATATTTCTCTATGTCCTGTTGATCATTTGATGGTCTTATTACTGAAATGAATTAAAATGAAATGGATATTTAAAAAGTGGCTTTTGGCGGTTTATTTTACTCTGACATAAGTGTTTTAATAAATATTAATACAGTATATTCAAACATTGTACATATTAAGTATACAAAATACTGTTGTGAGATGAGACACGAGATGTGATAGTCATACATACATTTAAATATAATTTATTATAAAAATAATGTCCATAGAGTTTGTATTGAATTTATATATAGGCCATTTTCGCAAAATTTGAAATAAAAATTTCAGTTAACATGGCAACTTCCACCGAGGGTTGGGGAAGGGGAAGTTACAGAAGCTACGCACATCACGCTACGTAGTTACCAGTGTGCGTTCAGCACTCATTTGAAACTAGCTAGCTTCTCAAGGAGACTGCCGGCTGGAAGTACCAGTAAGTTGCAAGACGTTGGTGGCGCTCTTTCAAAATAAACCAGATTTAATTGTCTATACTTTCTATAGAGAAATGATATTTTTTATAATTTTCCATATACTTTCTATAGAGAAAATTAAAAAATCATGATTTTACTTCATAAACACTAAAAATATCTAAATATTAATATACTATGCAAAAAATGTGTACTTCCAAATTGTTTTATAGAATTTGTATAGATTATAAATATTCTTTCTATAGACAACCTTTTTACATAATATAAACTTTTCCATAGAGTTTGTATAGATTTTATATAAACTTTCTATAGAATGTGTATAGATTTTAAATATTCTTTCTATAGACAACTTTTTTACATATAAACTTCTCCATAGAGTTTGTATAGGTTTTATATATACGTTATATAGAAAAAGATTTTTTGTATTGTTTTAATGTGATGTTTTTGCCATTTCTCGTTCTTGTTTTCCTTTTGTACAAATACACCAATTTAGCTTTTGGCTACTAATGTATTTTTTATGAAAGAGTTTTTTTTTAAATAAAGATACCG